AAATGGTTTTTTTTTCGAAACCTTGAAAAAATTGCTAATTCAGTGCACTTTTCATTTCATTATAATTGTACTTATTTTTTCATATAATTAGTTAAATAAAGTATAGTAACCAACTTTAATACATTAATTTACCATTTTCATAAAGAAAACGACAAATTTTTATTTTCTACGCAAATGAGAACTGCGAAAAAATGTGCATGGTTTGTTTACATTTCATGTTTGTTTACATTTCACATGTTGGACTTGCCCTTAATCTCATTGTTAATTTAAAATTATTAATTTTAAAATTTATTTGAATTCATATTTCGCGCCAATGTGCTGTGCTCGAAAGCAGAAAAATTAAATTAATTTTTGAAAATGAGAGCAGTTGCGTTTTCGTCAAGGATAATCGTTTAAAAAAATCAGTCCTAAACGAATATTATCCTAATAGTAGTAGGTACTCTTACTTTTAAAGAAAATAATGATGTTTATTTATTAGAAGCCGACGAAACTTGCATCCTTTTGAATCCGAGGATAGAAGAGTATTTTGTGAAATTACCCAAAGGTATTTATAATTATTTTTATGTAACTTGATTTTTTTAAGGAAGTATTAATTTTACGAAGTGGCTATTTCGCCGACTAGCTGGCGAAATAAAAAGAATGGTTTATTTCGCCGGTCAGTAGAAACACATGGCATTAAAAAACTGTCGAAATAAGAGAAATAGTTTATTTCGCCCGTCAAATATGAAAAAATTTATTTTGTGTTATTTCCGAAATAAAGAGTCGATATAAAATTAGAAGAGGCGGGCTTCGTCCGCCTCTGTTGTATTTTTTGCTTGTGGCTCTTTTTTCATGCTTTTTATTTTCTTTTGTTGCAGGGGGGTCCTTTCTGGGTTCGGTACCTTCTAGTCCCATCTAGAAAGTCAATTCCTTTCCCAAAATAAAGATTCGTCATTAAACTTGCAGTTTAATAAACTGGAACATCAGAAGAAAAGAAAAAGCTTGAAAAAAGCCACAAGCAAAAACTACTATCTGCTAATTTGATATCGAATCTTTATTTTGGAAAGGGATTCAAATTGACTTTCTAGTTGGGACCAGAAGGAACCGAACCCAGAAAGGACCCCCCTACAACAAAAGAAAATTAAAAACTTGAAATAATGTATGTATGTATGTAGGTATGTATGTATTGTATCGACACTTTATTTCGGAAATAACAGAAAATAAATTATTTTTATACTTGCGCAGGCGAAATAATTTAGTTTCTTCTATTTCGCCTGACTTTTTTAACCATATTATTCTTCTGATGGGCGAAATAAACTATTTCTCTTATTTCGCCAGTCTTTTAATTCCATGTGTTTTTACTGACCGGCGAAATAAACCATTCTTCTTATTTCGCCAGCTAGACGGCGAAATAGCCACATCCTTAATTTTAATATGTATCATGCTGTTAACTATGCGTAATTGAAAAATGAAATAAGTAGAGCATAATTTTTACAGATTGTGGAGACCAAAATGATTCAGCTGGTGCAAAGCGGAAGACACTGAGAGAGATGTTGACAGCTTATAAGAAAAAAGAAATTTCCAGCAAAGTTTCCAAGGACAAAGCATTTAATAAGAAGGTTATTTTTTGACATTTATAAATATTTATTTCCAATTAAAATTTTTATTCTCGCAGTAATAAAGAAGTTACCATGTATAGTAAGAAATATTTCAAAATTTATTTTTTATTAATTTTTCCATAAGATAATAGAATTTTCGAGACAGGTAAATAATTGAAATTTTGTAAAATTTTATTAAAAATAATTGATTTTCTTTAAGTGTTTTATTAAAATTTTTGAAAATTAAATTTTGAAGACTGTGTTAATTGCAAATTTTAATAATAATTGAAATCTCAAAAATTGTAATGAAATATCAAAATGAAAATTAGTTTCAAAAGAAGTATATTTAAAATTTTTAAAATAGAAAAAAATTAAAAACTGATTAGTTTTCTAAATTATAATCACCTGCAAAAAATTAATTTCAAATTTATAAAAAAATCTGCTTTTTATATACTTTTGATTAAAATTTTGGGAAAATCATGTACTTTCACATTTGTAATTATAATTCTTCAAAGACTTGATTATTTTCTAATATTTTCCAAAAATTATTTTATAAAAATCAATTATTGTGAACAAATTTTACTAAATTTCAAATAATTTAGAAATGTTTCAATTATAAATTTAAATATCTATTTTCATTCAAAAATTAATTGAAAATGTTTTTTAAGAAGTTTAGTTGAAAGTTCTGGTAAATAATTAAAATTCGACAGGATTACAGTTTTATTTTTTAGAAATAGTTAATTTTCAGAACGATTTAATCCCTACAGAAAATCCCTGTATAAGATCTTGTACAATTTCCTGTACAGGACCAGCAACTGAACTTGTACAAGTTCTGACCAGTTCCTGTACAGGAAAATGCATACGAATTTGGAACAAGTTCATGTGTGAGATCTTGTACAAGATCTGGTGCAAGATCTTGTACAAGAAAGATACTTGTAAAAGAAAATGTACATGATCTTGTACAATTTTATGTATAAGTAATTGTACATGAACATGTTCATGTTCTTGCACATGAAATAGTTGTAAAATTTTTTTTTTAATAAAATTTGAGATTTTGATAATTTTTAACCACTAAGATTCGTAACTCATGCATGCTAAAAACTATTGCGCAGCTGTAAAGGTTAAAGTAAACTATTGCGCAGCCTTTGAAGTTTTTAATTTTTAGTAAAAAAAACATGAATTAACATGTGCAAGAACATGGACGTGTTCATGTACAAGTACTTATATATGAAATTGTACATGAACATTTTCTTGTGCAAGCATCTTTCTTGTACAAGATCTTGCACCAGATCTTGTACAAGATCTCACACATGAACTTGTTCCAAATTCGTATGCATTTTCCTGTACAGGAACTGGTCAGAACTTGTACAAGTTCAGTTGCTGATCCTGTACAGGAAGTTGTACAAGATCTTATACAGGGATTTTCAGTAGGGATATGAACATTATATAAGTACAACTTTCTTATTTAGTTTCAAAAGTAATATACAATTGTTAATAGCCTTTTAATTTTACCATTTCTAGGTCTTGGGTGATGGAATGCCAAAGGAAGAGAGCCATATGAAAAATAAGAAACCCTTCCTTCGAAGAGTTATATTAGTTTCTTGGAAACATCGCGTAAATGAAACCTCTGATTATGATTTTATGGGTACCGCAATTGGCAAAAATTTGAAAATAACATTAAAGGAAATGAAGATTATAGTTTGGAGAAATTGAAATCTATAATATTAAAAGAGTACGTAAATGACAAAAATAAATTGTATTTTGAAAATTCCACAGTCGAGTTAGGAGTGCAAGATAGACATATTATAACAGAATATAAAAACAGCGAGGGAATAATATGCTCTTTTTGGCATTACATCAAAGACCAGCGTAAAGCAGGACATGTCTTAAACATTTTCTTGTACACAACGTACAGCCTGAGTCAACAAAATGGATCACAGAAAATTCAACAGAATTATTCTCTTCCTTCTATTTCTCCAATAAATGACTTTCTAATTCAAAACGAGCGTGCACAACCCACGTATCCTAATTCCAATATTCCAATTACTGGTGGAAAGGAGAAAAGTCTTATTGATTTGAAAGAAAGCGATTTCAGTTTTGTCGAGAGCACAGTATTTGAGAATTCTTCAAAACTGGAAAACAGGAAAAGGACACCAATTATAAGATCTTTCCACGTGAAATCTTCAGATCATTTCACCGCGACGGGAGCTATCACCCTGAATAAGAGTGAATCAACAATAAATAAGTCTTCTAACTTAAATAAATCACAAGCATTAATTCGAAAATTAATAATTATCACATGCCAACTCCTACCGCAATGCAAAGGGACCATGCAACTCCACCAGTAAAACCTCCGTATTCTCAAATTTTGAATACCAATTCAACAGGTAACACCAGTCTAAACATACCTCACCATTCGAAATTTGAATCTCACTATGCTGCAATTCCTTCTGTGACACAAATCAAGAATTTAACTCCATTACGGGGTACGGCCTATTCTAAAAATTCGAATTACACAAGTAATACCATCCAAAATAATCCTCTCCATTTGAATCTGAAAAGTCTTACTCCTTCCTTGGAAATTTCTCCTGCCTCCAAAAACAGACAAACTTCATTAGATGGAAGTTTTTGTTCTCAAAATTTAAACTTCACAAGCACCACCAGTCAAAATAATCCTCTCTATTCTAAATTGAAAACTCATACTCCTTCATTGGCAATTCCCTCTGACTCACAAAACAAGCATGAACCACCACCAAAAAAAATTGCTTATTCTACAAATCATAATATAAGCAGAAATCTCCACCTAAAAGTCTGCAAAAAGTCCGGCGTGGCAATTCCCTCTGCCACGCAAAACAAGCATGAACCTTCACGAAAAAAATTGATTATTCTAACAATAATAATGTAAGCAGTAATCTTCACTTGAAAGTCTGCCAAAAGTCTGTTCATGCTGCATCAGGTCATCTTGACGAAACTATTTTGACTATTAACTCTGACAGCTCTGAAATTGATAGTCCAATGTATTCAAAATTTACAAAAGAAAAATCTACTTTGGAGAAGTTACCCGATGAGATTTGTTTTTCATTTAAAAAACCAGTTGATAATAAAATTGACAATTTAGATTTATCTATAAATATTATCAAAGAGGAAAATATAAATTTTTCAAAAACAGATTTGGGACGAGGTGCTCAAGGAGTTGTATTAAAAGGCAATTATTTGGGATCCGATGTTGCTATAAAATCCATTCCTATTGTTAAAGAAAAATTCAAACACATTTTAAGAGAAATTAAACTATTGGACAAAATTAGACACCCGAATATTGTTGCTGTGATGTCAGCTTGTCCCACTGCAACAGAATGACACGTTGTTATGGAGTTTTTCAAGTCACATTCCCTTCATGACATTTTATTTAATCGTAGTGAGAGTATGAGGGTGCTGGACACTAAATTGAAAGTGAGTATTGCAGCGCAAGTGTGTTGTGCAGTAGCATACCTGCATCTACAACCGCAACCAATAGTTCATCGAGATATAAAGCCAGCAAATATTTTGGTAAACGAATACTTTGTCACTAAATTATGCGATTTAGGTTTGGGAAAAAGTGACCTATTTTCTAAAACTCTACAATCTACGCACGTCGGCCGTTGGCGGGGAACTTTACTGTACATGGCTCCAGAAATTCTTCTAGAAAATAAAGAAGCGAACGAAAATTCAGATATTTGGTCTCTTGGTTGCACTTTATTGGAACTATTTAGCGAAAAACATGTTTGGAATGTATCGACTGTAAATAATATGATAGCTAAGTTAATTAATCAAGAAACACCAAGTATTGAAGGATTCCCGCGTAACCTCCAGGTAGAAATGGGCAAGTGTTTTTATTATAATTCAGCAAAACGTCCAAATATAAGTCGTCTTTTACGTTTACTAGAAGAAAAATAAGAAAACTTTCCTTCATTCCTTTGTTGATTACATTTAAAAACAATCATGTAATGACGTCAGAGACTCATGTCTCCTATTGATATGATTTAATATCTAAATATTTTATTTTTTTGTTACTTTAATCTTAATACCAAAAGACTGTAATACACCTGTGAAAAAATTGTTATATTGAAATCAGTATTTTAGTCACATAAGTATAAGTTGAAAAAAGTTTAAAAGCTTTAAAAAATTATATTTTCACGTTCAATGGAGTGAATTATACAATTTAAATAATAATTGTATTTGACACAATGAAATGTAAAGCTATAAAAGAAGATTGTGTAATGTTCGTTTAAAATTGTTAGAAGATTATCTTATCTTTAAAAAAATTTTTGTTATTTTATCGAAAAAAAAGGTCTTGTCCTTACCCAGGTGAAAATGATCCTCACGAATGACGTGTGGAATTCGTCCAGAATTCGTCCAAATTTCCTTAAGAATTCGTTTAGAACTCGTTCAGATTTCCTGTCGAATTCTGGAAAACGCCGTGTGGCGATTTGAAACAGAATTCGTCCATAATTTAATCGGAATTCGTGCGACTTTGAAAAGAAAAACGAATACAAAAAAATTTTCTCTTAAATTTCCAACCGAATTTCGTATGGTATTCGTGCGAATTGCTAACGAATATTTTAAGAACAGTTCGTGCGGATTCCTATAAGAAATTGATAGAAATTCCGAACGCAAATTTGGATGAAAAAATTTTATAAAAAAATATTCGCCCACTTTTCCGATCGAATAGTGTGCGGTATTCGTACGAATTACTAACAAATTCTTTAAATAATCTTCGTGTGGATTCCTATAAGAAATTGATAGGAATTCGGAACGGAATTTTGGGTGAAAATTTTTTTAAAATCATATTCGCCCACTTTTCCGACCGAATAGTGCGCGGTATTCGTACGAATAACTAACAAATTCTTCAAATAAACTTCGTGTGGATTCCTATAAGAAAATGATAGGAATTCCGAACGGAATATTGTGTGAAAAATTTTTTTAAAAAAATATTCGCCCACTTTTCCGACAGAATAGTGCGCGGTATTCGTACGAATTACTAACAAATTCTTTAAATAATCTTCGTGTGGATTCCTATAAGAAATTGATAGGAATTCGGAACGGAATTTTGGGTGAAAATTTTTTTAAAATCATATTCGCCCACTTTTCCGACCGAATAGTGCGCGGTATTCGTACGAATAACTAACAAATTCTTCAAATAAACTTCGTGTAGATTCCTATAAGAAAATGATAGGAATTCCGAACGGAATATTGGGTGAAAAATTTTTTTAAAAAAATATTCGCCCACTTTTCCGACAGAATAGTGCGCGGTATTCTTGCGAATTACTAACAAATTATTTAAATAAACTTCGTGTGGATTCCTATAAGAAATTGGTAAGAAGTCCACAAGGAATTTTGGCTGAAAATTTTTTTTTTTAAATATTCGCCCACTTTTCCGACCGCATAGTGGGCAGTATTCGTGCGAATAACTAAGGAATTCTCTAAATAAACTTCGTATGGATTCCTATAAGAAATTGATAGGAAACCCGCAAGGAATTTTGGCTGAAAAATTTTTTTAAAAAAATATTCGCCCACTTTCCGACCGATTAGTTCGCGCTATTCGTACGATTTACTAACAATTTCTTTAAATAAACTTCGTGTTGATTCCTATAAGAAATTGATAAGAAATCCGCAAGGAATTTTGGCTGAAAATTTTTTTTTTTAAATATTCGCCCACTTTTCCGACCGCATTGTGGGCAGTATTCGTGCGAATAACTAAGGAATTCTCTAAATAAACTTCGTATGGATTCCTATAAGAAATTGATAGGAAACCCGCAAGGAATTTTGGCTGAAAAATTTTTTTAAAAAAATATTCGTTCACTTTTCTGATCGAATAGTGCGCGGTATTCGTGCGAATTACTAACAAATTCTTTAAATATACTTCGTGTGGATTCCTATAAGAAATTGATAGGAAATCCGCAAGGAATTTTAACCGAAAATTTTTTTAAAAAAAATATTCGCCCACTTTTCCGACCGAATAGTGCGCGGTATTCGTAAGAATAACTAACAAATTCTTCAAATAAACTTCGTGTGGATTCCTATAAGAAAATGATAGGAATTCCGAACGGAATTCGCATTTTCAGCCAAAATTCCGTTCGGAATTCCTATCAATTTCTTATAGGAATACACACGAAGTTTATATAAAGAATTCCTTAGTAATTCGCACGACTACCGCGCACTATTCGTTCGGAAAAGTGGGCGAATATTTGAAAAAAAATATTTTTCAGCGAAAATTCCTTGAGGATTTCCTATCATTTTCTTATAGGAATCTACACGAAGTTTATTTAAAGAATTCCTTAGTAATTCGCACGAATACCGCGCAATATTCGGTCGGAAAAGTAGGCGAATATATTTTTAAAAAAAATTTTCATCCAAAATTCCGTTCGGAATTCCCATCTATTTCTTATAGCAATCCACACGAAGTTTATATAAAGAATTCCTTAGTAATTCGCACGAATACTGCATACTATTCGGTCGGAAAAGTGGGCGGATATTTTTTTAAACAAATTTTTCAGCCAAAATTCCGTTCGGAATTCCCATCAATTTCTTATAGGAATCGACACGAAGTTTATTTAAAGAATTCCTTAGTAATTCGCACGAATACTGCATACTATTCGGTCGGAAAAGTGGGCGGATATTTTTTTAAACAAATTTTTCAGCCAAAATTCCGTTCGGAATTCCCATCAATTTCTTATAGGAATCCACACGAAGTTTATTTAAAGAATTCCTTAGTAATTCGCACGAATACCGCGCACTATTCGTTCGGAAAAGTGGCGAATATTTTTTTAAAAATATTTTTCAGCCTAAATTCCGTTCGGAATTCCTATCAATTTCTTATAGGAATCCACGCGAAGTTTATTTAAAGAATTTCTTGGTAATTCGCACGAATACCGCGCACTATTCGGTCGGAAAAGTGGACGAATATATTTATCAAAATATTTATCAACCAAAATTCCGTTCTGAATTCCTATCAAATTCTTATTGGAATCCACACGAACTGTTTTTAAAATATTCGTTAGTAATTCGCACGAATACCATACGAATTTCGGTCGAAAATTTGGTCAAAATTTTTTTTTGTATTCATTTTTTTGATAAAAGTCGCTCGAATTCCTATTAAATTATGAACGAATTATGTTTCAAATCGCCACACGGCGTTTTCCAGAATTCGACAGGAAATCTGGACGAAATCTAAACGAATTCTTTCGGAAATCTGGACGAATTCCGAACGAATTCCAAACGATTTCCTTACGAATCATTTGCACCTGGGTATGATAGAAAAAATATACGAATAGTGTTAAATTTTATTGTATGTTTATGAATGATGATAAATAAATACTTATAAATTTCGATATCAATTTTATGTTTGTTCGGGAAGTTACAGTTTCAAATTTCTTTTATCCATAATTGAGGGGCTGGATAAAAAAACCGACGCTTGGTAATACATAGAAGAAATGATGAAATAATTGATAAATTAATAAATAAATTGATAAGTACCTGTTCCTCAATCCGGCCTCTCAATTAATAATAATTATTTTAAACAAAAGTCCTCTAGTTTATGACGCAAAAAGTTTTTTTATTTACATATTTTTAACAACAAAAGACGATCGCGAGAAGAGTATTTTTCAGTATTTTTTAAATAGGTTTTATTCTATAAAAAAGAAATTATTAATAATAAGTTATAGAAGAATTTGAAGGATAATTAAATGAACTTTCCAATTATTTTTTTAATTTTTCAAATTTCTCTTTATTTTGATGAAAAATCCTTGTTTGAAATGTAAAACTATTAATATCTTAAAACACATTAATTTTATTAAAACTTATGTGAAAATAAAGATTAAATTTTCTAGTTTTCATATCCTTTTTTTTATTATAGACATTTCATGGGAATTATTCATAAAAATTAATTTAAAATGTGTTTTTAAAAAATTTGACTCAAAGTATGTAGTGAAGTAGTACAACACAATTGATGTTCACTTTTTTTCAAAATATATGTAAAACAAGGTGGCCACGGGTTAGGGAAAACATGGAAGTCAGAGAAAAGTCGGGGAATTTCATAATTAGTCAGGAAATTTTTGAAAAATAAAAATTCTCCGATTTTTAATGAGAAAATTCAAGAAAAAGAGGTCAGGGAAAGGAGAAAAGTGTCAGGTAAAAGTCAAGGAATTTTTTCGTCTGATTTTAGTGGCCACCATGTAAAAGTTTCAAAAATAAGAATTTTATTTTTATATTTTTATGTGTAATTTCCATAAAATGTCCATAATAAAACAAATGGCACATTGGTTTATAACTTATAAATAATAATTCCTCTTTTATAGAATAAAATTTGATTAAATAATATTGAAAACTGCTTTTCTCGCAATCGTCTTTTGACTGGATTTTTTAGAAAATTATTAATTTTTATTATTATAAATTACTAAATAACATTAATTGAAGATTCTAATTTTCTCAATGCTTCTGTTAATGTTAAGTATTGTTTTAAAGAATCATCAACAGTAGTCGGTCTACTAGTTGTATTTAAAAGTTCAACCGCGAGATTCTTGAACGTCGATGAAACTAACGTTGGTTCTGTTGTGTAAGTTTTCTCCAGATAATCCACAAACTTCAAATCAACGTTTTTTTTTAAAATCATCGACACAAAATTTTTCCGGACAGTTATACAATACGTTTGGAATGCCCCCACAAACATTTCTGCTATTTTGCTTTCGAACGCGATGCTCATTCCACTCTTCTCTTGTTGATTTTGTATCCTCTTTAATAACACGTTCGAAGCAGTATCTTAAACAATCAACTTGTATAGGACAACCAACATTTAAAATATTTTTTTCTTCCATTGTTTTGAACAAATTGATATAAAACTCGATCAATCGTTGCCGAAACTGTCTCCAAAAGGCTTCTATCCTCTGGTTTCTGGTGCT